ACTCTTTTCTTTGAAATCTTCAAAACCTGGCTCCACAACTGCCCACAAACTTTCATTTCTTCTTCACATATTCTCCTTCATGTCACCATCACCTCCAACACCCAACTCGTCATTTCCCCTGTGCATTACACTCGAGTATCTGGACAGGTGTGTCATGCCCCAATCGGACTTCTCACTACATGCCCAATAAACTCCATCTCCACTTCCTTCCTCTGCATACACGTTGACTGATAGGTTCTCACTCACTTCGTTGATTACCAGCCACAATCAGTTCCTTATTGCTTATTCTTATTATTCTGGTCATCTCATCGATCTTCAGTAAGGAGCCAGTGTAGGAGACAGTTGTTGATGAATATCTGTAGTTTGTTGGAAATGCCTCTCGTAACGCGCCAACTCTCTCAACCATCACATGGAAGCACTGACTCACTTGACTGTCGTTGGTGTTTAAAATGTGGATGTTGTTCACGCTTTATGCTGAGTGGAGTGGAGTGGAGTGGGGTGGAATGCATAAGATCTCCACACTGTTTTCAGGTTAATGGGTGCCTGTCTTGTTGTCTTTCTGATCGTGGCTTTGACGTCCTCGTTTGTGCCGCCTGTAGTTGGTATATAATATATACTACTGAGTTAAATAAGTAGTCAAGGGAACTTAGCCAGTTGACTAGCAGTTGTGGACGTCAGCCTTAGGAAATGACAAATCAATAGGAACAGTGCCATGATATAAATAATGTATTTATTTGACAGACACCTTATCTGATGTATAGTTGAATAGATAATATTTCATAATTTCCATGCATACAATTACTTACAAATGACTGTCAATGTTATTGATCTTGTGAAAAAAAATTTACTTCTGTGATGTGCTATGGTGATTTTCACTTCGAGGGTTGTTTTTCATCACCATTCAAACCTCCAAAGTCATATGACGTTCCTTATTATAGTTAAACAGCTAGAATCACAAAATACCAAGAATATTAGTGATAAATAATATGATTTAGCATCTCCTGGAAACAGGTGGTATGCAGAGTTTATAACGTCTTCACAAATTTGAACAAAGCTAATTATTCAAGGTTTTGGTATCGATGCAATGCTTAAATATGAATGTTGTACAATAATCACTTCCCATAGAACAGATCCTATCACCTTAGCATAAATAGGTTGGCATTTAAACACCTAAATAACCCCTTGTCTGGTTCGCAAAGTACTTTTATTCATAGATCAAAGTATCCGATTTCCAACTACTCATTTCTATCAGTAGTATGTGTTTGTATGGATGTTTTTATGAACAGTCCTAATTCATTTTTCTGTCCATTTACACACTGTTCCTTTGGATTATACACATAAAAACGTTAGTAGGTAGTACTGACAATTTGAAATCTCTCTACTTCATCAATTATCGCATTCTCGGTTGACCTAGCGGATGGCATTACCTTACAATAATAAATTTATACTGACGAAATATACCCATTTATTCGTGAAAAAGAAGAAAAGATGTATCAGAGAAGATAAGAATCTGAAGAAAAGAATCACCCCTCATCCCATTACAGTTCCTAAGAAAATCTTAACCATGAATCTAAAAGTCAAAGATGATACGACAGCAGAAGTGCTGAAAAACCGTCTGTCAAGGTATATCAGGAGTAGCTTTCTATGCTGCTAGACTGAGACTGATATTCTTCATCCGCCGTCTGATTCGATAATGCGTGAAGAATAGGCTTCCACTTATGTCCACATCTATGTGTATCTACAAATTCATAAGCGGGCCCTTCGAAAACGTGTTGCTGAACACTACCCGGTATGGCTTACCAAAGGCGAGTGAAGGAAAACAACTTCTTCCATATGTGAACACCTAGTAGGATTAGGTCATTCAGGACTACAAGATTCATCCCTTAAAGTCATTTACAAAGTTTGTATTTCCACCAATTGTGCATAGCTGAGGCATTAGCTATACAAGAACAAAAACCGAAACTTTGCGTTCACTAACGTTTTGTTAAACCACTTTAACTACCCTGTTTATTTTTTCAATTTCATTTCCATTCACTTTGGTTTACTTCCCTTTCATTATCATCATTGTTCACTATATTGACAACATTTGACCCATATTTCACTATTTAATACCACTTCATTGACCTATTTTGCATGTTTCAGCTAAATTATCACCGTTTTACAATTCTTTGACAGCATGTGTATCTTATCTCATCACTTTTTATCAATTCGTACCTTAGTCCCAGTGACTCATTTTCTATTTCTCCCACTTGAAAAATACCACCACCTACACCTAATGTATATTTTGCATATTGACTGAGCAACTTTTCTTAAGTGCAATTATCTGTCATTTTACCGAGTATAAATACAACTGAACAGCTTGATGATGAAGTTGTTGAAAACAAATACTCCTTCTTCGCTGATGTGTGTCTTGTTCTTATCAATAAATTTATGATCATATATAATGATGGCAATTTTTTAAGATATCATTATTATTATTGTTATTTTTCCCTTGGGTTCCTAGTGAAACATACCGCCTCAGTAGCACACCTCCATTCCACTCTCTCCAATCCAGTCTCTTCAATCTCGCTCCACAAATCCACACAACCTTTCATTTATTCCACACATCATCTCCTCCATGTCATCTCCACCTCCAACACCCAACTCGTCATTTCCCCCTTTGCATTACACTCGAGTATCTGGCCAGGTGTGTCATGTCCCCAATCGGACTTCTCACTACATGACCAATAAATTCCATCTCCACTTCCTTCTTCTGCTTACACGTTGACTGATAGGTTCTCACTCACTTCGCTGATTACCAGCCACAATCAGTTCCTTACTGCTTATTCTTATTATTCTGGTCATCTCATCGATCTTCAGTAAGGAGCCAGTGTAGGAGACAGTTGTTGATGAATATCTGTAGTTTGTTGGAAATGCCTCTCGTAACGTGCCAAGTCTCTCAACCATCACATGGAAGCACTGACTCACTTGACTGACGTTGGTGTTTAAAATGTGGATGTTGTTCACGCTTTATGCTGAGTGGAGTGGAGTGGAGTGAAGTGGGGTGGAGTGCAGTAGATCTCCACACTGATTTCATATTGATGAATTTAGGTCTGTCTCGCTGTCTCTCCCATCCTCGCTTTGACGCCCTCATCTGTGACACCTGTAGCTGACAGGACACTGCATAGGCAGACAGGTAGGTGAAAGAAACAACTTCCTTCAGATATTCCGCGTTGACGGTGATTGGTGCTTGTTATTGTTCTTCATGTTCGTTGAGTATCTTCATCAACTCCTTCTTCTCTACGTTCACCCCAACAGACTCCCGTCTCCCTTCTCTGCCTTTTCTGTCAACTTGTTAGTGTCCGCCTGTAGATCTTCGAGTTTGTGATACAAGACATTAGACATAAATCATCATCGTTGTCGAAATCCAAATCTTATAGGCTCTTTTCATCAATCCACTCAGTGCATACCCCTCTCCTCACTCCTCACAGTTGTCTGTTGCATAATCCACCACAGTCAACCACAGTCAGCAACATCATCAGTGGTAGTAGGCAGCCTTATCTTACTCCCTCCTATCTTCTCCTCAAAGGCATCACTCAACTTTCCATTGTCAATCACTCGGTATGTGGACTTTTCATATATGTGTTGAATGAGGTTGATGAAGATTTGTGGTATTCTGTATTGTTGAAGCAACTGTCAAATTACTTGTCAGTTGACACTTCGATCGAAGGCCTTTTCGAAGTGGATGAAGTTGATTTGTGGTAGAGAGTTGACTTCCATTCTATACACTGTTCTGTGATGATGTGTGGTGTAGAGTTACAATTTGATCCCCACATGATTTATTCTTCCTGAAGCCAGCCAGCCTGTTCCGGTCGTAATTTTGAACCCAGCGTACTGTTTAGTCTCTCCAGAATGACGCGGCATAATATTTTTCTTGAGGTGGACAGCAGCATGATTCGGCGCCAGTTCCTAGAAATACTTATGTCTCCTTTGTTAGTGAGTTTGACAAGGTAGCCTTTCTTCGAATCAATGGGCATGTACATTCCCTTCCTTCCTTGCAAACCTTCTGCAGTAGTGGTGTGAGCATGTCCGCTGTTGTCCCTACGTCTATTTTCAGTGATTCGGGTGGAATTCCTCCTGGTCCTGCTGCTTTTCTGGCTTTCAGGACTTCACTTCTGCTTTTGTCGGAGTGCATGTGTTCACTGGTTGTTCCGAGTCTAGGTTACTGATGATATTTCCGGACGAGTTGCAGGTGGTGTTTTGAAAGCTGGTATAATTACTGTGTCAAATGATACTTAAGAGTGGATAAAAGTTGTCAAAATAACTGAACGGTTTTTCATGTTTCCTTTTTTAAATGTTGAAAATCGATTGCGAACAAAATACATTTGTACCAATTGTTTTCATAAGGTACCAAATCATATTATTGGCAGTTAGTTTGTCTTCACATGATACACGTTTGGTTTTACACCATAGAATTCATCAATGCAGTCGTTATAAGTACTTTTCCGATAATAAAGTTTGTCATATGACTTTAGTAGTTTGATTAATGAAGACGAAAAATCTCAGAAAGTGTAACTTAGCAAAGTATACCACAAAAAAATAAAGCTTTTCCTGAAGATAAGTATACTAACAGTTGTGTCGAAGTAATTGTATGCGCGTAAATTATAAAATGATATCTACTCAAACTATACATTAAACTAGGTGTCCATCAATTTATTGCCTTGGCTCAGCGTGTTGATTCTGTTGACTAACCGTTTTGGAGACTAAAGTGAATGGATATCAAAGTCTATAACTTCTGTGTTTACCAACATAAACCCCATAAAATGCATAAGTAAAGTAACCTAACTTGAAGCTACAGATAGGCAATATCAACATTCAGTGGAACGTAACCGTGTGATAAGTCAGTTGAATTTAACATTAACTTGTAAAAGACCTACAAATATTTTAATTCTTAGAACCCAAAGAATTCAGTTAACCATTTAACATTGATTATTGCTTTCCTATACTCTCTTTATTCATAGAGAAAAACATGAATCGTAAATATTTTAATGATGAAAAGTTTGACAAATATACACCTGATGCAACAAACAATCTACTATCACCAATAAATGAGATGATATCATCACGAAAATCATCACAACCAGCAATAAACCTGTTGTCGTCGTCGCCACCACCACCACCAACAGCAACAACACCACTGAATGGAACAGAAACAGAATTAACTGATGTTATCGGTGATAATAAGCATAAGAATAAATGGAAAACAAGGATTAGCTTAATACTTCATGCTAAATTGTTTCATTTGATTATTGTAATATTATGTGCATTAGATGGACTACTGGTTATTTGTATGCTTCTTCTGGAAATCGAATCGCTTAAACTAAAGGTAAACAGTTTATGAATTACTTTGGTTTAAGTACATTCTTCATTTGTTGTTTTAATTTGTGTATATTCTTTGATTGAACTCATAAGGCAGACTTTCTAACAGTCACTTTCACTTTGTTGTGTACTGTCTAATCACTGAAGATCTTGTTAACAGTTAGTTTAGTTCAAGAGGTTTTTCTTCAAGTATTTTTACAATCCCAACAGCTTAGAGAATCTCGTTTCCAAGAATGACCAACACAGAAGAATCCATTGCAACATTTACAACAGTGATGCTAAATACTTCTTAGTGACACGCATACCTGTCATATATTTGTTTTCCAGTCTACCTTTAGAACTTTTGTCTTCAATTGTCTTTCGATAGTATTTAACTAGCTGAATAAGCGGAAGGATGGTGATTTCATGCTTCATATTTAGATGGATGTTAGCAGATTGTAGGTGATTTACAGAAAAGCTTTCTTCACCATAGTTTCGTCCTTAATGACCCACATCAACAGGGCATATCAGCAATCATGAAAAAATTCATGTCTCAGTGACGTACGCCCGCATCCTTCAGTAGTGAAGTCATAGGCCTTACAACTGACCTACTCGGGTGGCAACTAGGATCCTGTAGCCTGGATCAGACGTAATGATTAGTCAACACAAATAAACCCGCTTCATAGTATCTAGGCCTTAGAGCTGATCGAAGGGTCATGATCATTTTCTAATGTAGTCAGAAAGCTAGAAGACTGACTCACTGTAGTAGTGGATGACATATGTCAAAAACTCGGAGGAAATGAGTTCACTCGGTCAGCTCTACAGGTTTGGCAGCATAAATATGTTTACTTTTCAGTGACCGATGTATTCACCCTTCAGTGCTTGTTAACTTTAACAGACATACAATAGTGCCATCATGATTCATTATCATTATAAATAGTGTTTCAGTAATCGACAAAAGATACCTTCTTTAAAGTCATAAACATGCAATGGTGAAACGACAAGGCATTATGTAATAGTAAACAATACATTCCAAATAACCACAGGTAAGCTATCTGACCAATTTAAATTACACACAGGAAAACAATATAGTGTAGGTAAATATACTCCTAAAGGAAAGAGTGAAAATAAATCGGTGAATCACAAATTCACTAAAACAAGCCTTGACGTTTTATGTTGTTATGTCCGAGTTATCGCTATACTAAGGAAATATGAAAATAGTAAGTGAACTGTTAAGTACCTGAAGAGAATTCTTTTGGAGGAGAGTTTACAATTATCTTCTTCATGCACCACATACGTAACAGCCAGCTTACTTATTATTATTACTTTTTACTTGGGTTCCTAGTGAAACATACCGCCTCAGTAGCACATCTCCATTCCACTCTCTCCAATCCAGTCTCTTCAATCTCGCTCCACAAACCCACACAACCTTTCATTTATTCCACACATCATCTCCTCCATGTCACCATCGACTACAACACCCAACTCATCGTTTCCCATTTGGGTTCCACTCAAGTACCTGGCCAGGTGTGTCATGTCCCCAATCGGACTTCTCACTACGTGACTAATAAACTCCATCTCCACTTCCTTCTTCTGCATACACGTTGACTGATAGGTTCTCACTCACTTCGTTGATTACCAGCCACAATCAGTTCCTTACTGCTTATTCTTATTATTCTGGTCATCTCATCGATCTTCAGTAAGGAGCCAGTGTAGGAGACAGTTGTTGATGAATATCTGTAGTTTGTTGGAAATGCCTCTCGTAACGCACCAACTCTCTCAACCATCATATGGAAGCACTGACTCACTTGACTGACGTTGGTGTTTAAAATGTGGATGTTGTTCACGCTTTATGCTGAGTGGAGTGGAGTGGAGTGAAGTGGATTACGGAAGATCTCCACACTGATTTCATATTGATGAATGAAGGTGTGTCTTGCTGTCTCTCCCATCCTCGCTTTGACGTCCTCATCTGTGCCACCGCCTGTATTTGAAATGATGCTGCCCAGATTGATGAGTAGGTGAAAGAGGCTACTTCCTTTAGATTTCCCATGTTGATGGTGACTGGATCTTGTTGTAATAAGACTTACGGTTGCGATACTCGAGAAGCGAAAATAAATTGTCGAGATCTGATTAATTTTTTGAAAATCTAAATGTAGTTGAAGACTGATTACACCTACAATTATAAGTTTATGTAGAATATAATAAAGAACAGTTGGAGATTCTTGATGATATATTGTTGAAAATCGGTCAGAATTGTCTAGACGTGTGTACTGTTTTCATTAAATACTTTCTTTGACTTTTAACTACCTATACTTCTGTCAAATTTTACAGCATTCATTTCGCATTTTCCTTATCGGTGCATTCTGTTTTGAAGTGGTATACCTTGAACTGATCCATTAATGTATGACCATAAATTGAGCAGTACGGTAGATGTGAATATAGAAATTTTTATTGTATGTGAAAAGTTACTCATTAAATAATAATGAACCACTTTGTGACACAACTTATATTAAAGGAATAGAAAATTTCGGTGAAGATTAATTTTATGGTGATTCTATAACATACAGTTGTACATTTATACTTCACTATATCGAAGAGTTACAAACAGTAGCTAATGAAGATAAACTAAATATCGTCTACAAAATCAGTTGGAACAACTCCAATCAATACTACATTAGACAAAGTGTGGTCGCCCTCTTCACTTTCCTTTATGTGATCAACAATTGGCCATTAAACATCACGACATTTCATCCCTTATTTCAATGCATGTGGATAATTATGGACATGATAGTAATGATGGGGAGTAGCTAGCAGTGGAGTCCAGGATGTACAGTTCGTCCTATCTGGAACTCATCAGCTGGATGTACCTGCTTCCCGATGAGTGATATTGTTCCCATCAGGATGCGGATTCTGGAGCGATCGCTTCAAACGCCAGAGAGTTATCCACCACACCACCGAGCCACGATAGCCACTCCTTGTGCGACGGTTATAGGTTTTAGTATGATTGTCTTTATATCATACCGTCGTTGAGTCTTAAATAGGACGAAATGAGCATCCTGGATTCCACTGCTAGCCACTATTCACCATTACTACTATTAGAGCACCGGTAATATCGAGGCATCCGCATAGGAGCCTGTATACCAATAGAAGCCGACCAGTTCGGTCCAATCAACGACGGTATGATATAAAAACAATTATACTAAATTATGGACATGTATTGGATTTTGACAATTTATAAATCGAGGATTGAGAAAAGACAAAGAATATTAAAGAATTCTTAGAATCCTGGTATTCAGGTCAGTCAGTAGTCAATGGATGTAAGAACACAGATCCAACCTGTCAGTCAATAAGAGAAATGATAAACAACAGAAGGGTGGAAGATCAAGTAGAGGAACAGTCAACAAGGAAATGCATGCAGCCAGTGACACAATAATGAAAGAAAACAAACAGTCATAAATCAGTCTGTCAAAGCTGAGTACTGAATCATTCATGAAGAAATATTGATGGCTGGTGTTGTCGTCTAGAAAGACGTTGAAAGCTCCATGATTAAACGACCCGACTCACAGAACACAATACAATCATGATCATTTGATTAAACTCAGTGATAAAAATCAAGTTATAGGAAGATCAAAGTTCACAAGATAAAATGGAATTGAAGTGATACATTTTTGCGTCAGATTTTCATTTGACTTATCTAATCTACTTCGTCGATATTAGAGTCATGTCAATGGAGTCACCTGACCCATACGTTTTGGTATTAAAGAAGTTTGATTACATTTTTATTAACCTAAATGAGCCTAACGACTCTAAGAATCAAAACGTTTTTTTCTCAGATACAACATACTTGTTTTGTGGTTGTCGAAGGTACATAAGTTAGGCGAAACAATGACAAGGTTTAAACCTATGAGACCCGCTTCATAGAGTAGTGACGTTCGATAAAAACGCTTATATAAGAGGGAACGGGGACTTCATGATACGTGTTTGATATGATTTCTCTCTCATCAGTGGAACATGAATCTAATCACTAAAAATATAAGCTTCATACTCAGTTCTGAATATTTTCTTTGACTTCAACTATCATAGAAGTCATGAATAAGGCTATGGGATGACCTATTAACTGGATACAACATCCAATTCTGTGCATAAAGTCATCACAAAGTGGTAACTTTCAAACGTCGAAATTACCTAAATCATTTGATGAGTGACAGAGTGAGTGACGTAACCTTAGAATGCTCATGAATGTAAGCAAGTTAATACATGGAGGGTAACTTATTTGACAGTCAAATTAGTCATTTGATCAGCATCAGCTTGCAATCTGGAACTACTGCGTAACAATTTGAGCTGTCGTACTTCACATTCCAACAAGACACAAAGTAGAGAGGAAAAAAGATAGAAAAGTAGGAAAAACAGAAATCTAAATTTGCAAGTCATAAGTAGAAAGAAAAAAGAAAAACAGGGACCTGAGAAATATGGTACTACTGTTAAGATAAAATTTATGTGTGAATCTTTTAGGGTAACTAAGAAGGATTCTGAACCATGTTATTTACATTCTACAACAGCCTGCTTCAGCTGTTGTGTGATCTCTGACCAGGAAGTCAACATTTCCCTACACGGTTCAGACCATGAGTTAAATAAATAGTAGTCTAGATACTTTTAATCTTGTTCTAGCCCAAACTTACTTTGTCTAACATTGCACAGTGGAGTGGATAATAACTTGGCATGAATAAAAAATGTCCCAAACATTTTAATCGATGAACATTTACGATTTTGCCAAGTGGCTTACCCTTTCTTTCTTCGAACTCCATGCAGGACTTCTGCGTCACTAACATCATCGATATGCAAAAAATGGATCGATTCTTCGAGACCAACGGTAGTCGAACATCTGAAGTGAACTGGTATGCAGTATACCCAATTCCTAATAGGTAGTCAGATATCCCATCAACATCACATATGGTACAACTTGGTAATAACTAACCAAGGCGTTTTTATTCGTACAATAAAATTCATGGTCTACCTAATAATCAGTTTTTTCAGGTTTCAAGTTTCAAGAATTGATTATAGCTTATCGATTCAATAGGGGATATGATCATTATCCTTTTTGACACAAGGAAATTCTCGTAGTCCTATCTGATCTTCCGTACAATCTGCATAAAAAGTATTTCCTGGAATATAAAGCACCTAAGGGAACAAAATATGTAGCAAATCCTATGGTATGACGATATTTGAAGGATTAAAACTGTCTCTTCAGAATTCACTGGGTTAATAATTCGTTATAGATCTGCTAACCTTTGATGAATTAGGTCACTGGAAAGGATACTGTTGGTCCCTATCATTTAAGACACGGCACTCATCTTAACATTTCAGAGTTTTAATAGTGACAACATATTTTCCCCCTACAATTCTTCTAATACCTTCAAATTAGCTTAAAGATATTCGTAAAAACTGTTAGTCATTTACTTACGGTCATGGTTTTGAAATATTTCCTAATTTCTAACTTATGTGAAAATTCAGAATATTTCACATCTCCTCATGGCATCACCAAGCTTGATGATGAAACACGCGTGACAAAATGTGAAAGCTTAGGTAGCGCAACAAAACAAAACAGTTGTCAATCCCGAATACTTTAACAAAGCTAAGAAAATATAAAGCCATTATCATCATCCTCGGCAGAAGAGGCAGCGAAGACAGGACTTCAAGTAAACACAGAGAAGACAGAGGTGAAGAAGATACTCAACCATCGACAACAGCAACAACCAGCTCCAATCACCATCAAAGGGAGAAACTTAAAACAAGTAGCCTCTTCCACCTATCTAGGCAGCATCGTTTCAACTACAGGCGGTACAGGCACAAACGAGGATGCCAAAGCCATGATCAGAAAGACAGCAAGACAGGCACCCATTAACCTGAAACCAGTGTGGATACCTTCTGGACTCAGCATGTGGAACAAGATCCGGATTTTCAACACTAATGTCTGTCAAGTCAGTGCTTGTATGTGATGGTTGAGAGACTTTGGGTGTTACGAAAGGCACTTCCAATAAACTGCAGATATTCATCAACAGCTGTCTCCTACGCTGGCTCCTTACTGAAGATCGATGAGATGACCAGAACAATAAGAATAAGCAACAAGGAACTCTGGAAACGAACTAACCAAGAACCTGTCGTTCAACAAATATGCAGAAGGAAGTGGAGATGGATTGGGCATACATTGAGAAGACCATTCGGGGACATCGCGTGCCAGGTCAGGTACTCAAGTGTAACCCAGATGGGAAGCGACGAGTTGGGTGTTGGGGGCGATGGTGACATGGAGGAGATCTCGTGAGGAAGAAATGAGAGCTTCTGGGCTGTCGTGGAGCCAGGTACAAACATTTACAGAGAACAAAGTGCACTGGAGACGTGCTACTGAAGCCCTATGTTCCATTAGGAACACAAGGGACGAATAATAATAATCATCCTCATTAAGATGAATATCAAAGCTGAAGTGAAAACTGTCAACCTCATCCTAAGCTAAAAATCACTTCAATTATCTCAGAATTGAATTCATCCTGGGAAGTTCATACATTCTACTAAAGTAGTTGTAGAACTTGAAGGCTTTAGTATTACATACTTCGATGTTAATCTTGTTTGTTCAATATTTTCCACAGTGAAACATTATTACTTGCCGAATAAAGCTACACATTCGAATAGACACTTAGAATGCAGATCACGTTATCTTGTGTCAGTTAAAACAGACATAGTTAAATAACACAAATAAACGTATAAACAGTAAAACAGAAAATCTACGACAGGAAGTAAGATGTATTCAAGAAACATTATTAATCAGCATTTATCCTGATAAAGTGATCCAGAGATACATGATAAATCGTAAGGAAAAGATGAACGTAGCGAACACTAACAGCTGACATATTTAACAGTAATAACACTAAGAAACGATCATTTGAAACCTTCACGGTGTGATCATGTATGAAAATTGAAGTAGGATTGTTAACAACGCTGTAATTCTGGTGGCAGTTAAGCCTACAAACTCACTAAGAAAGACACTTTGTAGATGTAATCAAGCTCATTGGATAAAATAACTTAATGTATCAAGTTCCGCATAACGCTTATAAAGTCATGTACAAGGGTCAAAATAGTTGACGGCAGTCAAGTAGAACAATAAAATCAAAAATGATGGTCCTTAACAAGGTGAAAAATTTGTAGGGAAGGTTTTATTTATTATTATTTGTCCCTTGGGTTCCCAGTGGAACATAGAGCTTTAGTAGCACGTCTCCAGTGCACTCTGTTCTCTGCAAACTTTTGAAGCTGGTTCCACGGCAGCTCAGAAGCTCTCATTTCTTCCTCACACCATCCGGATCTTGTTCTACATGCTGAGTGCAGAAGATCTCCACATTGGTTTCAGACTAATGAACGCCTGTCTTGCTTTTCCGATCCAGGCTGGCTTTGATATCCTCGTCTGTGCCTGTGCCGCCTGTAGTTGAAACAGTGCTTCCTAGATAGGTGAAGGAGGTTACTTCCTTTAAGTTCCTCCCGCTAATGGTGACTAGAGCTTGTTGTTGGTGGTGGTTGGGTATCTTCATCACGTCCGTCTTCTCTACGTTAACTTGAAGTCCTGTCTTCACTGACACTTCAATATTCCATAAACAAATTGACACGGTTCATTGTAGTTTGTAACCACAGAGCAATATTCACCAGAGATTTCTTTTCAGGCAGAATACTTAATTTATGTGATGTTGCTTGTGTTATCCCATCGTTGAGTGGACCAAACTGATAAGTCTGTTTTATCATATAAGCTACTACGCGGATGTCTCGACAGCACCTTTACTTCAGTTATGCCTTAATAATGGATACTGGTCAGCAGTAGAATCCAAACGTGCACTTTGTCCTATACGGGACTCGTCAACTGAATGTATCTGCCGCCCAGTGAACAATGTTATTCACACTATGACTCGACCCTGGAACCTATCGTTTCAGACATCAGAGCTATGTTCACTAGGCCACCAAGTCAAAATAAACACTACTCGTGCAACCAGTGTAGTTCATATGATTTTACTTCTGCTATTCCATCACTGACTGAACAAGAAACAGCATATAAACTATACTCATTGCCCAATTAATGGCTATCGTGACTTGGTAACCTAGTAGATAATGCTCTGTCTTTCAAAGTGATCGATCCCAAGTACTAGTCTTAATGGGAAGAACATTGCACACTGCGAGGTAGTTACATTCAGCTGATGAGTCCCGAATAGAACAAAACACATGTCCTGAAATCCACTGTTAGCCATTATTCATTGTTATTATATTGTTCACTGAGTAGATATGAATCTTGTTATTTTGAAGAGTTAAAATATATTTTACAGATTTTGTTTTTAAATACTAGTCAATTTTCTTTTTCTTCTTCTCTTTTCTCTTTTCTCTTTTATTGTAGCATGGAACACTTCGTTCTCGTTTAGTAATGACTTCATTCATTTTTGAATGTACAAGTTTTGCAATAGTAACATTATTTTTAATGGAAATACTAATTAAATTATGGGCGTTTGGTTTTAACTTTTATCGTCATCAATGGATCGAAATATTAGATGGATTAGTTTGTATTGTTAGTTTTACAGTGGATACTTATAATATTCATCGACATGTAACACATTCAAAAGATAATGAAAATCATAAATTGTATAATGATAAAATAATTAATGAAACGTCTAATGAATATATAAACAAAGGTGTTCAAGAGACTATTGCTGATGCTGCTGGTTTATTGGTTTTATTTCGATTATGGCGTGTTATACGTATTGTAAATGGTAAGTTATGAATATATATATATATATATATATATATATTATCATGTTGATGTACTCTACAGTATTTCTTCACTTCAAAGCCTCTGCTGTGTTATCATACAAGGAAGGCATCTCAGAGGCACTACTAAGAATTCTCAATAAGCCTGACTGGGGATTAAAGTGGTATTCAAACCAACAAACTCACTTAGAAATAAGCTTTGTAAGTTAAAAGATCCTATGGATGCAATTAAGCAAAATAATCTGGTTTACCAGATCCCTTGCAATGATTAAGAGGTCAAGTATATAGGTCAAAGCAGTCAGTCGACCAGGGTTGATTAGAATAATAGAGCACAAAAACTTAGCTACGTCAGGATTAGTAGATCTTAATAAGATAAGAAATCTAGAGAAAAACCCGGCTATAGCTCTGCATGCGATGACACACAATCACACAGTAGGGTTAAATAGGGTGACAGTGTTGAAAACTTACTTGAGTGGAGGAAGAGATTGTTAACCGAATCTTTGTTTATCGAATCAACACCAAACATATGCAGCAATCGAAATGATTCTGCATCTGTCCCAGATATATGTAAAATTCTACTACCCTTGTCATCACAGAGAAGGAGAGAAAACTAGGAATATATAAAGACTGTCTCAAAGTTGTGGAGTTACCTGATATGAATATGGACAATAAATTATGTCCGAAACGTTATCCAGTAAATGCTACTGTCTCTTCACTGTATGATATTTCTAATAAACAGACTAAAATGGAATTACAATCGACCACAGTGCCCAAGTTTTACTCTTATTTTAGTGTCTTCGCTTTGTTGAATAATGTTTTGATACAATTAAGTTTGTATGCTATTCGACAGCTACTAATCTAGTTGTGGAGAAAAGAAGAAAACTGTTTCATGATTTAAACAACGCGAATAAAAGATAGAGGTTTAATGACTGTTATCCAAAAGTACGCCTATCTACAAAACTTCAACAAAAAACATTGGCATAATTCATTGTCAAGCAACAAATCATCGTAGAAAACTAACAAATGGACTGTCCTACCGCACATGAAGAATGTCTTTGACATCGTAACTGGATTATTGAAGCCTATTGGAAGCGCCGAAGGTCATAAACCTGAAAAATCTAAAAATAAGCCGCAGAAACTGAGAAATGCGCTACATCGGACAGGATGGTCACCCTCTTCGTATTCGTCTACATGAACATCAACTATCAGCAAAGCAATATGATCTATTTTCACTTATATCAATGCATGTGGACTATTGGCGATATGAATTTGACTAGGAAGATGTGGAAATCATGGATAGAAGAGATATAACGAATGCCAGAGAATTTTAAACAGCTTGGAATTCAGGCCAGTCAATAATCAACAGACATGCTGGCAGTGACTCAATCTACCACCCGATAAGTTCCAACAAAGAGGTCAAGGTTTTTCAACAGTAGAACAACCAATCGAAATAAGTATGTAGACAGTGATGAGACTTTGGCAGAAACGACCAATCATACACAAAGCCATTAGGACAAGCTTCTAAGTCACTTGTGAAGAAAACCCCATAGCTTATTTCTTGTGTTGATACTGTTATTCAATATTCCCGATTAACCCATTCAGTAGAGAGAACAGAACACCACCAATATTTTGTGTTATTCGGCTAGTATTTAATACAACTCTGAAGAACCTGTGAATTGGTATACAGAAACATCTTCCTAGAGTTTACGACGTCAATCAACCACTGGATCTGATAACACGTACTCGCCAGTGAGACAGTGTGATGTTCCACTTAACCAAGAATTGACAGAATTCGAACAACAGTAACAGTAACATATGGTCCCTGGCTTGACGTCTTACAGGATCATATGTGCGCATTGTTGAATTTCCTGACCTACTGGTTAGACTTCTAGCCCGATTACTAACACATTATTCTGGACATACCACTACCGATGTAGGATCAGATGTTCTAAAGGTATCTGAACTTAAAATTGTTTCATATGAATAAATTGTGCTCCAGACATCTACGAGGAAATAATGCCGTATCACTCTGTTATGTTAAATAAATGTATTAGTGATGGATAGTGGCTAGCAATGGAATCCAGGACGCGCGTTTCGTCTTATTTTGGACTCGTCAGCTGAATGTACCTAACTCACGATAAGACTGATTAGTTCGTTTCACTCAATAGTGAGATAATACAAGCAGCAACATTAAAGCTATACGCGTTCGAACAAGAAGTGGCTTTTGTGACTAGGTGGACAAAGTGATAGATCCTAAGTAAGAGTCTTAATGGTAACAACATCGTTCACTGGGTGGTAGGTACTTCCAGATGACGAGTCCCGAACGGGATGAAATACGCGTTTTGTATCCTACTGCTAGCCGCTATCCATCATTAGGAAATAACTGAAACACAGACGATATCGGGGCATCCGCGTAGTAGCTCCTATGCCAATAGAGACAGATCAATTCGGTCCACTCAACAACAGCAAAATACAAGCAACAACATTTTATCTCAAACATTATTGAGCTAACTGAACTTTCGTCAATGAATTATTTGTGTGAGGGAACCCGAGACTGACTTCCTTAAAAAAGGTTGCAATTATTTATTTCAAACACACTGAGATTTATGCAAAGATAAACATTTATATTAGATATTATATGAAACATATATTTTTCCCTTGGGTTCCTAGGGGAACATAGGGATTCAGTAGCACGTCGCCACTTCACTTTCTTCTCTGCAGTCTTTTCAAACTCACTCCAACATTACCCACAAGCTCTCATTTCTTCCTCACACCATCTCCTCCATGTTACCCTCACCTCGGACACCCAACTCGTCGTTTCCCATTCGGATTCCACTCGAGTGCCTGGCCTGTCACGTAATGTCCCCTATCGGCCTTCTCAGTGTATGCCTAATCCATCTCCACTTCCTTCTGCATATTTGTTGGGTGATAGGTTGTTGGTTAGTTCGTTGCCAGTCAGAGTTCCATGTTGCTTATTCGTATTATTCTGGCCATCTGATCTTCACTGTCAGTATCAAGCGTAGGCAGCTGTTGATGAATGTTTGCAGTTTGTTAGAAGTGCTTTTCAGAACACCCCAAGTCTCTGAACCATCACATACAAGCACTGACTTGACAGACATTAGTGTTGAAAATCCGGATCTTGTTCATGCTTTATGTTGAGTGGAGTGGAGTGCAGTAGATCTCCACACTGATTTCAGATTAAAGAAAACCAGTCTTGCTGTCTTTCCGATCCTGGTTTTGACATCCTCATCTGTGTCACCGCCACCTGTAGTTAAAACGTTGCTGCCTAGCTGGAAGATGAAAGAAACAAATTTCTTTGGATTTCTCCCGTTGATGGTGATTGGTGCTTGTTGTTGATGCTGTTGTTGGTTGGGTATCTTCATCACCTCCGTCTTCTCTACATTCACTTAAAGCCTCGACTTCCTTCGCTGCCTGCCTCACCTTCTTCTGTCAACTTGTTAGTTTTTGCCTGTAGATCTTTGAGTTTGTGCTACAAGACATTAGAGATAAATCATCATGGGTGAAATCCAAATCTTCTAGGGTATTTTCATCGGTCCAGTCAGTGCATGCCCCTCTTCTCACGCATCACAGTTGTCTGCTGCATGATCCAGTCCAGTCGACCACAATCAGGAACGTCATCAGTGGTAGTAGGCAGCCTTGTCTTACTCCTGTCTTCACTTCGAAGGCATCACTGAGCTTCTCATTGTGAATTACTTGGCATGTGGTGTCTTCATATAGTTGTTGAATGAGGTTGATAAAGGTTTGCGGTATTCCGTAGTGTTGAAGCAGTTGCTAGTAGTGTTTCACAAAATTGACACTATAGTAAATTAATGATAAGTTAGAATGTTAATCTAGATGCTGTAAGCAAACTCATTCGTAACGAGTAAAAATAAGTCTAGATAGAAGACAACTTTTAACTGAGTTCAGCTGGAAATAACTTGTGGGTTAGGTCAAAGTAATTAACGTACGCCAAGATGGGCTTTGAAGGCAAGTAAATGGTCAATAGATGATACCCTTCCATTTCCTATAACTAATTAAATAAATCCAACCAAATCCTTGAACCATACGCTTCGATTGGAGATTAGTGATCATCTTTAGTTCATTCAATCAAACACAGACTACCAACCACATCTAAGCGACTTCAACATTCTCAATTCATAGGAAAAGACAAGACATAGTTTCAGCAAAGAAAATTTTTTTCTTTTCGATGAAGTCATTTACTAAGCTGTACATTCGTGAATATATGTTACAGTAGGTAGAATGTTCCAGAATTGTTTCGGTCAGGGGGCAAAATATATAGAATGACGAAAGGAAGTTAATAATACACACACATTTGTGTTTAGAGTGGGAAAATAGTCAGGAAAGTAGGAAGTAGGAAACTGAACGAAGGGTTATGGAGATAGAATTGCGATTATGTAATACTGGATAAACCTATGACAAAGTATGAGAATAAACAGAGGATCACCAAAAATAGGACTACTATTACGTAACACAGGTTAAGTCAGTAACAGAGTAGGAAAATAAACCCACGTCCACGATGTGGGTGTGGGTTCGTATTCCTCCTCCAACACGAACTTTTTATTACCCAACAAATATGCAGAAGAAAGTGGAGATGGATTGGACATACATTGAGAAGGCCAAATGGGGACATCCCGCGACAGGTCAGGCACTCGAGTGAAATCCGAATGGGAAACGACAAGTTGGGCGTCTGGAGGAAGGGTGACATAGAGGAGATGATGTGAGGAAGAAATGAGAGCTTGTGGGCTGTCGTGGATCGAGGTTCAAAAGATTGCAGAAAACAGAGTGGAATGGAGATGTGCTACTGAATCCCTATTTTTCAATGGGAACCCAAGGGAACAATAATAATAAGTTAAGTAATGCAGGTTAAATCTGTGACAGAGTAGAAAAATCAATAAAGTATACATGTGTAGTTACGTGATACAAAATGAATCTGTGGCAGACAAGGCTTTATGATAGCCATAGCAAAGATAAAGTTTGCACGTACTTTTTTCGAACGCATAACGCTGGTTTGAACTTCTGGATGGCTAGTGCTTCAGCTATAGACAGATGCTTTGATTTTACTCCTTTCGAGTGGTTTGATCGAAGCCTGTAGAGAATTTTGAATCAGCTCTGGAAAGGAGGTAAGTGACCTGAGTTCACGAGGTGTTCCGTTATCGAACTGAAGATGCATTTCCGTTCTCCCTTTGCAAGCCAGGCTGAGTAGTGTTCACAGACACATTTTACAAGCGGACGCATGGTACGGCCGATGTACTGAGCTCCATAAAAGCAAGTAAACTGGTATACATATATTCAAGAATGTACGGCTTAGTAAATGACTTCGTCGAAAAGAAAAATTTTTCTTCGCTGAAACCACATCTTGTCTCTTCCTATGATCATATGGTTGTATTCCGCTTTTTAAGGAATTCTCAATTCAGACAAAAACCAACTAAATGTTTATCTTCAAACCCTTCTGTGAATCAGCTAATAAGGTATGACATACTTTTACTTGTATGTGAGTTGGCTAAACAAACAGTAAATACATCCTAGTGTTATTGCTTGCATTACACCATCGTTGATTGGACTGAATTGATCAGTCTCTGTTGGCTGGAGAGCGATCGCTCTAGAGTCCGAGTCACGGTGGGAACAACATTACTCACTGGGAGGCAGGTACATCCAGCTGACGAGTCTCAAATAGGATGACTACAGACTACTGATCAGTTTTGTGATACGGCTATTGGATTGAGTGAAATGAACGACTTTCATTTACACTTGATATTGACTAGTTAGTAACAAGCAACTTATTTCGTGTCTGGCCGAATTATATCAATAATTTTCTCGATAATGAGGTCACCAAGCTAGAAGATCCATCTCTATTTTGGACCTCAAGTGATTTTAGGTGGTTAGAGATTTTCGGTATGAACCTCTGAATCTAGTCCTCATACCTTTTGGTACTCATCAGTAAGGTAGATCACATATCCATCAAAGAATCAAGCCCATATCACGCAGAACTACAGTAAACATAGACAAGAACTGCAACAATTGATAGCACTGAGTTAGGTCTAATGTAATTTATTCATATTCCGATATCATTCAAAGTAGGACTGGGTTTAAAGCACTATCCGGATAGTGCTCATTATTGACTTGCTTCCAGATGGATATCATGAAGCTCTAATGAGAAGCCGTGACCTGTGGGGTCAACCAGTTGGAAGTGAAGTGGATGCTAACTGAACACCTTGGGTGATAGTCGCGCTATGTTATGAATTGACAGAAGTTGGAAATTGGGAACCATTGGGAACCGACCCAGTAGCCAAGTGGTTAACGCGTTCGCCATGAAACCTGAAGGTCTTGAGTTCGATTGGTAGTCGGGCAGCGGGTGCGTACTGGTGAGGAGTCTCACAGTAAAATGAGACAGCTGCTTAGTGCTCCCAGATTTTCAATGGTTCCCCAACTGATATCAGTTCATGATGAATACTACTTCTAAATTAAAAAATCCCCATTCATCTCAAAAATACAATAATATTAAAGCTAAAACTCTGTGCACTCTAACAATTATCCCATGTCTAAGTTTGTGACTATTATTCTCATTCATTTTCGTCTAGCTATCATAGTTTCTGTTACTGCTAGTCAAGAAAGAACAGTGAAATGTCTGAAAGAAGCTCAAATTGTTTCTTATAAACGTATTGAACAATTGGAGCAATTGCTTGACGACAATAATATACCTATACCTCCATTAACGCCTAGAAGTAAAAATATATTAGCAAAAAAGTCTGAAAAATAAAAACTAAATAGATTTGTACTTCTGAAAATTTATTTCTGTTCACAATTATAACCATTGTTTATATATATCATTTAACTATTCAAACTACTTTCTTTGATTTGAGTAGTATAAATTGTTTATGTGCAATTCCTCTATTACTGACTTCGTTTAGTATTCGATTATTACTATTATTGTTATTATTACTAGTTTTTCATATTCAAATTTTATTTATTTGTATTTTGGTAAACAATGTGATTTACCTCAATGTGTTGCAGCAGATCATTTATACTTTTCATTTAAGATACGCGCTTCAATAGAGAAAGTGCTAATTTGTCTTATTGCTAATTGCATTTACTTTGCTTCTGTACACTTTCTTTCAGTTCAGTGTTGGAAAGTATGACCTTGATCAGAAATCATTGTTTTCAACAAAAAAAATGATATTTTCACGTTAAAATTTTTTTTCATTTGTATCCAAAAGATGCGTCTATCTTGATAAAATTGAATTACATTGAATATTACTATGTCTTGCAATATACTACTGAATAAAAAAATAAGTAGTTAGGAACCAATGATGACTGTCTCTAGGTTTCGCTAGCCAGAACAGAGTAATCTAAACACGATACAACCATTTCGTTCATAGGGAGTTGAGCTTATCAGCAGCACAACACAACAAGTTCAGTTAATACAGTAGAACTCTTCAAATTAACTGAATCTGACTGGCTAGCTTACTTGGATTGACCAGCATACTTCCTATGAGATAATTAAAAATGACTTGGAAACAGTACAGTCAATCTTCGTACTCCTGACAGTTGTGTAGTGTTTCAACTGTCCAACTGTGGTGTCAACAAAGTTTCAATATAAACATGAACAATGAGATTTCTGAATACTATTCAAATTTCTCATTCTACATGTTGCAATTCCCGTCTCAATCATTTTGTATTCTCTCCAAAGCCTACATTATGTTTTCCAATAGCTGCATTCTGATCCTATAATGCGTACTTCTGATATTCGTATTTCGTTTCATTCAGGCAAATTTCAATATCAAATCACTTTGATGTTTTCCTTTCGTTGACTGGACCAAAGTGTGCAAATGCTTCACTATTTCAGTCAATTTTACTCTTCCAGGAAGCACTTTTCGACCCATTAGAGACTCATTATGTAGATGTACTCATCTCTTTGCTTATCGAGTGGGTATAATGATCCAGCATCTTAATAGATAGTGCTGTGAAGTTCAAAGAGATGAGTAATGAGCTGGGATCTAAGTGGTAACAACATCGCCGGCCGTAAAGCAGATGCATCCAGCTGATCAGTTCCAAATAGAACAAAACCTGTATCTAGAAGTCAACTGATATTATCAGATGAATTTTTCAATAATTTTATATTTCCAGATAAAATTCAGAGTCTTTGAGTTAAATTTCTGTTCACTGTGTAAAAAATAATCAAGTAAAATTTAATAGGAATCAGCACTGAAATAGATCACTGTTGAACAAGATGAAGTAATGTTAAATTCAAACCGATACTTGGCGCCTTGAAAGCCTCAGCATAAATAGTAAAACCTTAAGATGGAAAGAGATATTTTTCACGCTGTAAACCGCATAATTCTTTAAACCTCTTTTATGATATTAAAAGCAAGAAACTCCTCGAGATAGACTCTTCCCAAGGAGTTTACTAACAGACTGTATATTTATTTACTCCGAGGAATATTTTACGTTCTGGGTGTAAATATTTAAAGTGAGTTATCACCTCATTTAGCGTTCGAATAGACAAACGTTTTATAGATTATTGCTAAGTAGAGGTTCAGTTGACTGACTGATAAAATCAACGTTTTTATTATTTTATTATTAGTCCTTGGGTTTCCAATGCAACATACAGCTTCAGTAGCACGTCTCCATTAAACTCTCTTCTCTGAAATCTTTTGAACCTGGCTCCACGACAGCCCACAAACTCTCATTTCCTTCTCGCACAATCTCCTCCATGTCACCCTCACCACCGACGTCCAATTTGTCGCTTCTCATGGGGGTTCCACTCGAGTGCCTGACCTAATGTGTGATGACCCCTATCGGCCTTCTCAGTGTATCCCCAGCCTAATCCATCTCCACTTCCTTCCAATGCATATTTGTTCAGCGATAGCTTCTTGCTTGGTTCGTTCCCAGAGCTCCTTCTTGCTTATTCTAACTATTCTGGCCATCTGATCTTCAATAACAAGCCAGCGTAGGTGGCAGTTGTTGACGAATGTCTGTAGTTTATTGGAAATCCCTTTCGTGACTCGTCAAGTCTCTCAACCATCACACAGAAGCACTGACTTCACTGACGTTGGTGTTGAAAATCCGCATCTTGTTCCACGTGCTGAGTGCAGAAGATCTCCACATTGGTTTCAGGCTAATCAACGCCTGTCTTGCTTTTCCGATCCTGGCTGACTTTGACATCCTCGTCTGTGCCCGTGCCTGTGCTGCCTGTAGTTGAAACAGTGCTACTCTGCCTAGATAGGTGAAGGAGGTTACTTCCTTTGAGTTTCTCCCGTTCATGGTGATTGGAGTTTGTTGTTGTTGTTGTTGTTGTTGTTGGTGCGGTATCTTCATCACTTCTGTCTTCTCTATATTCACCTGAAGTCCCGTCTTCCTTCGCTGCCCTGCCCTGCCCTGCCTCGCTTCTTCTGTCAACTTCTTAGTTTTCGCCTGTACATCTTCGAGTTTGTGTGACATCAGGCACAAGTCATCGTTGGCGAAATCCAGATCTTCTAGGTTCTTTTCCGCAGTCCAGCCAGCGTATCCTTCTCTTCTCGCTCCCCACTGTTTCCTGCATGATCCAGTCCTGTTGATTACAATCAGGAATATCATGGGGGATAGTAGGAAACCTTGTTTCGCTCCTTCTTGTCTTCACTTCAAAAGCATCACTGAGCTTCCCATTGTGAATCACTTGGCATGTGCATCTTCATATATTTGTTGAATGAGAGTGACAAAGATTTGTGGCATTCCGTAGTCTTGAAGCAACTGCCAAATTACTTCTCAGTAGACTCTGTCGAAGGCCTTTTCAAAGTTGATGAAGTTTAGTTGTGGTAGAGAGTTGACTGTGATTCTGTACTCTGTTCTATTATGATGCGCAGCATAGTGTTGCAATTTGATCTCCACATGATTTGTTCTTCCTGAATCCAGCCAGCCTGTTCCGGTCGTAGTTTTGAATCCATTGCATCCGTTAGCCTCTCCAGGATGATGCGGCCTAATATTTTGCTTGCTCTGGGTGGACAGGAGAGTGATTCCGCGCCAGTTCTTGCAAACACTGAGGTCTCCCTTCTTCGGCAGTTTGACAAGGTAACCCTTCTTCCAATCACTAGCCAGGTACCTTCTCTTCCTTCCACACCTTCTGCAATAGTGGTGTGGTGTGAGCATGTCCGCTGTTGTCCCTGCACCTGTTTTCCGTGCTTCTGGCGGGATCCCATCTGGTGTTGCTGCTTTCTCACATTTCTGTAGCTTTATGGCTTTCAGGACTTCGACTTTCATCGGAGGAATTGTGTTCTTTTGTAGTTCCGTGGCTGTAGATGGTATTTCTGGACGAAGTGAAGGTGGTGGTTGATTCAAGAGCTTCTTGAAGTGGTCAGCCCATCATTTCCCTTGTTTCTCTTCTTTCATAATTAAATTTCCTTCTTCATCTTTTATTGGTTTCGTCTACGTTGATCTCTCCCCTCCCAGATAGCAACCGGGTTATTTGATACAATGTTGTCAGGTCTCTGTTTCTCCCACCTGCAGCCTGTTCTGCATCATTTGCCAGTGTTTCGTAGAAGTGTCTTTTGTCTTTCCGTACACTCTTCTTCACTTCTTTGTCCAATGTAGTGTTCTATACATTGTGTTCAGTTCCTCTTGTCGTTGAGCATCCTTGCCTGTACTGGTTTATCTTCTGCTTCACCATCCTCCTCTCCTCTATCAGCTTCCAGGTATCCATTGAGATCCATTCCATTCCTTATCTTCTTTCTTCTTCCTTCCTAATACGGTTGGTTATGCAGGTTTCTCTCCACATAGCTTTCAAAGACTTCCAGTGTTCTTCCATACAGGTTTATTCAGGGATGTTGCTCGATGTCTCCCATTTTGTCTTGATGCCTGGCTGAAGTGAAGATCTCCTTTGTAGTTTCATCCTTCAGTTTCCGAGTGTTGTACTTGAACTGCGGTCTATCACCACCTTCCTTGAAGGCTTTTAATTCGATTTTCAAGGTTCCTTGCACTAGATGCTGAGTGGTCTGAGGCCACATCTGCTCCTCTTCTTCACCTTGTGTCAAGTAGACTGAGTCTCCATTTTCTTGAGATTGAGATAAAGTCGATCTGATTTTTAGTGTGTCCATCTGCTGAAATCCATGTCGCTGACTTGTGGATATCCTTGTGCTTGAACACACTGCCTAGCCTCCAATCACCAAATCGTTGAATGCACAGAATTCTGCAAACAATTCTCCATCATCGTTCACCACCTCACCGAGCGATTCTCGACCCACGGTTAGTTCTCTGCCTGTGTTGTACCCTCCCAGCTTGGCATTCATGTCACTCCGCCCATTAGAATTTTGATATCGCCAACTGCAGTGTGGTCTTGTCCAGCGTTGATTGAAGTTGTCTGTAGAATTTCTCCTTTTTCTCTTCATTTGCATTATTTGTAGGTGCATAGCGTAGCATAGTTTGATTGTGACCTTCCTTCCTTCTGAGTTGAACCTCGCTGTCATGATCCTGCAGGAGGAGATTGGTTGCCACTGCATGAGAGACAGCCTTCGATGTTTTGGGGGACATTATGATAGCCACTCCATAACTCAGTGTGCTCGTGGTTGTCGTCTGTGTGACAATGTCAGAGTAGATTATTGATTCTCCAGTTGACAGTTTGGAGAGTCCACTCCCATTCCATCTGCTTTCGCAAATTCCAAGCACTTCAATGTGATACCTCTTCATCTCCTTTGCAATCTGGGCTGCCTTGCTGAGTTCAAACATCGTGCGGACATTCCATGTCCCCATGTTTACTTTCGCTTTCATCGAGAGAAGACACACTGGCCAATCGGCTTCCCGAAGGCAGGCTTTCACCAACTGGCGTCATTTAGCCTCTCCGATCCCAGCGAGGAATAATTTTGTTATTATTTTTTTATATTTTGTTTGTGCTTTGAAGTTTCTTTAGCGGTTAGATTTGTTTTACGGGGTAGGGTTGCTAGCCGTATGCTCAACCTTCCCTGTTTACCCCGGCTTAGGACCGGCTAGTAACTAGTGAACTAGTTAACCATGCGAGGTCGATAAAATCAACGTAGCACCTCGTAAATAAGTGCATCGGCTCAAGTTGCTACAACTCTACAGTATTAGACAAAACAGATGACTGGAAAAGGACAAAGGTGTATTAGGAAGTAAACAAACTGAAACTGAAAATCAGTGCAAATATTCATACTGTAAAGGATATCAGAATGAATATAGCTGCGCTATTGTGACTGTTTTTCAACCATGCCACCAAAAGTTCTCAAACACTGATTCCTATCGTCTCGAGGACCATATCTAAGTAGT